GATGCGTATTGTTGAGTAAAATATGTGTAGGAACCGCGCTCAAACTATGGTTCATGAGTGGAAGTACTCGGGTTGCAGTTTTCTGCGGTATGCAGGTGCAGCGAGCTTTTAATTTCAGGCCCAGTAATTGCAAAATTGAGGACATCATGTACGATATTCGGATTCCGAAACGATATTTCGATGTCAGAAGTAGGACGCTGCAGCTCAGAAGCGAGGAGCAAGCAATGCAAATGCTCCACTCCGACAGTGTCGTTGTATGCATTTCATACTTCTTATGATGCTTTTATACATAATTCACACTCACACCGCCGAACCAAGTCGTTTTGTGTTTGCGTGTGTCCGTGCACGCATGTGTTTACATGTATAGACTTTTGTTTATGTGTGTGTTTTTACCGCATAGCTCGATTTTAGGATTATAAAAGCTGGGAGACAAAAATTTCTGGTGCATGACCTCACTCCCTGTGCGGAGCAACCTTCACTTCTCACCCTGCCGTGGCAAGAGAATTTGAATGTGTTTAGCAGTAGTGAAATATAACGCTTACGACGGGGAGTTCGGCCTACCGACGATTTTGGCAGTTATTAAAACTCGGATCGGTCGGCTTTGGGGTCGATTTGCGATGACTGGCTGGCTCTGGGAGTTGCCACGGCGGGGGGTAGCAGTAGAAACGGTGGAGAGGGCAGGAGGAGGGATGAGGGTTGGGAAGTTGTAAAGGGGGACGGGGGGGGGGACTATTAACTGGAAAGTCCTGGGCTGGAGGTAGAAATTGATAACAGGCGGAGTTTACCGGAATGTCGCTGTGGGTTTTTGTGCTCTGCATGAAACTTGGTGCTGATTGTGAGTTAGCTGCACAGTATGCACTCATCTTTATTTTTGGGTTCGGGTTCGAGTAACGAAAGTCATAGTGTGCCGTATTTTTTGTCTATGTAAATCCTAAGTGTCGCGTTCACGTTTGTTAACTTCCTTTTTCATGATAGGTATGAAAAACTCATACGAGTTTTCCTGCCGTCTATAAAGCTCGTCATTTTCAATAACCAAGATCTTCCCAGTCAATAACCCTGTCCCCTCCCACGTCACGAACTCGAAAACTTAAATTACCATCCCAACTCGCCGCATTCCCCTCCTCCGTTCCCGCTTCCTCGTCCTCATCCTCCACACCACCCTCCTACTCCTTTCCCGTCGCCAGTGGTCGCAAATCGATACCTGGAGCGGACGGGCAGGAGCCCATCTTTAGTAGTCCCCGATTGCGGCTGCTAAAATTTGGACTGGCCGGACCAGAAGGCGGAGTGATTGCTAGGGCAATTACTAACCTCGGCTCGGTACGGCTGACATTGTGGAATGCGCTAGCTTCTCTGTTAATGCTGTTTCACTGCGGCGTTGCTTGACACTTTGCAGGACAATTTCCACTCGCACGGACTCAGTTTTTCTCATTTGCTTTTACCCTTTTTTTTTCCCCTTCAGGTTCACTTTTTATGCGTCTTGTGCTGTGTAAAAGCAGTACAAAATGCATATTGTTATGGAGTTGTGTATGTGTATGTGTCCCACATTTTGTCCCGCACTTTCAACTCGGGAACCACAGAAGCTAGGCGGCTGAAATTTTG